AGGTTAGGTTACTAATAATATTAAATGTATATATTTTTTGTAAAAGTTACATAAACATCTTTTTATCAAAACAGAATTCATGGCTTGAAATCTGGCAAAACACTTAAAGAATTTAGAGGACACACATCATTTGTTAATGAAGTTGTATATACTGTTGATGGTCATAGTATAATCAGGTGAATATTATTGAGATTATCTTTAATAATTACTATAAATGTATTTTAATAATATATTTTATACATATATAGTGCGTCTAGTGATAGCACTGTAAAAGTATGGAGTGTGAAAACCACAGAATGTACACACACCTTTAAGTCCATGGGAGCAGCCGATGTGGCTGTTAACAATGTGCATCTTTTCCCTAAAAATCAAGATCATTTTGTTGTTTGTAACCGTTCAAACACCATTGTAATTATGAATATGCAAGGCCAAGTAAGTATTAAATTAAGAGGACATCGTACTCAGATGTTGTCATCTTACTAACACATAATATATCAAAATGTACGTCCAGCAGTTAGAATTTTGTATTGTGAGCGTAAGGGCCAGGCCACACATAGCGGTTCAACCGCCAGATTACCGTTCACATATGCGCGGTTATACCAAAATATTGGGTGATTGAAAAATTATTATATTTTAAAACTTAGTAATCTGAGTGTCTTTTAACACGAAAGGTTGGTTTACAGTATAACATATTAGCTATTTGTACGAAATGGAAATAAACCACGATCGGCTAGTTCAGGTTTTGTGTGTAGCAGAAGCACTTGGTGTGTTACAAGATACTGTGCAAAGACCACAAAGAAAATACTGGGTTCATCCAATAAATGATGAAAGGGAAACAAGTGGTCGTTTTTTAAAGTTTTATAACTATATAAGATTATATCCGGAAAAGTTTTTCATATATTATCGTATGTCAATTAAATCATTTGAAAAAAACACCAGATTTTCATATTCAGTAGAATAGATTTGATCAAAAAAAATTAAAATTAGGTGTATTTTAAAACATCAGCTTATTTACAAATAAAAAACAGTGTAATTTTGGGTTATGAAAGTTACTAGAAACTTGATCCCCACTATTGGAATTCTTATTTTTTAATGCATAATATATTTTGAAAAAATGAACCGCGGCTATGTGTGAACGGACTAATTCAAAACAATGCGTTTTAATCATTTGGGCGGTCAAACCACACTCGGGTCAACCACGACATGTTGCGGTCTATTTTTCAACCGCGGCTGAACTGCGTATGTGTGAACGTATATTAGGCGGTTTAATTTAAAATCAAACAATTTGAATTTGTTGGGCGGTTCAACCGCTCTGTGTGGCCCGGCCCTAAATATTAAAGTGAATTGACCTACTATCAAACTGAACTATCTAATTGAATGTAAGAAAATGATATGTGTTCTCTGATTGGTTTTTTACGATACTTTAATTTTTAAGTGAATTATTTGCATTTTCAAATATTTATATTTTACACACTCATAACTTGTTTATACTCTGTTCAAAATAATATAATGACCGGGGGGCCGAGTTGTGCTCATGGACGTGGCTTTATTCCGCGGCAGCACCCGACATGCCGCCATAGTGGGAACGGCGTCTGACCGTCGCAGAACGAAAACTGGTCACTGCCTGATCATCATCTCATTTTGAACAGAGTATAGAAAAAAAACATATTGTAACAAACCAATATGGTTAAAAAGTCCTCTTAAAAATATTTTTAAATTATGTCATTATACTAATAAAAAAAATACATGTATTTAAAGATTGTCAGATCATTTACAAGTGGTAAACGTGAAGGTTGCAATTTTGTATGTTCCACGGTGTCACCTAGGGGAGATTGGATATATGCAGTTGCCGAAGATTATAATTTGTACTGTTTTTCTTTGAACAGTGGAAAATTGGAAAAAACCTTACAAATACACGAAAAAGATGTTATTGGACTAGCACACCATCCTCATCAAAATTTATTATGTACCTACTGCGAAGATGGTATGGTACGATTATGGAAACCTTAAATTGTTCATGTTTACTATCCTAATAATATAAATTAAAACCTTTTTTGAACTTATTAATTTAAAAAATAATTTTTTTTATGATAATAATTGTTCAATAAATATAGAATTTAAGTAATGTGTATCGATAGTATCATAATATTATAATTTATAATAAATCAATTAAAAATTAATTAAATTACTTTTTAAATTTTAATAATGTATGTATGACACAATGATGTATTCTGTTGTGTATGTATTTTTAATTTCAGACACGTTTAGTTTATTAAATGTACCCTGTAAACTAAAATAATTTTAATAAACTAAATATATCTTAGTTTGTGCTTTAAGCAGTTTATACTGACTAATCAAAAATTATTCTCATACATTTTTCCACAGGCATATACTTTCTATTGTATTATTGTACAATTATTCTTTGTACTTCATAGGTCCATGGTTCATATATTCTGTCTGTTTAGATCTATAGGTCTATGATGGTTTGAAATTTAAAGTATTCTCTACTTTAAGTGCATTTTTCCCTCAAGAGTAACAGTGCTAAAGAGTAGGGAATGTAGAATCCATCTTTATATACTGTGTTCCAAGTGAGAAGACACCAGGCAGCTACAGGCAAAATCGATTTCGCTAAATAAATCGGGTGTCTTCTTATTTGGGACAATGTATATAAAAATATGGATTCTGCACAGAATGTTATATGCCTAGTTTACACTGCACACATAAGACATGTTTCCTAACCTTTATCAGGTAATTTTCTATGCATGATACACATTTCAATATATTTTAAAATTTTTAGATATTTATAGACATTAGAAATTTATTTTAGTTTGTTTTCTTTAAATGTCAATAAAAAAATGCTTGAAAAAACATGTACATAATTTCTCCTTTCTAGCAAGTTTTTATAATTACGGATTGAACATTTTAAAAGGGTTCTTCATAAGTAGTTCATTGTTTCCCACTGTAACCAAAAAAGTATAAAATATATGCAGTTTTTTTTAGACCTTATAAGTTCAAGTTTGGAGAAAATTAGAAATTGAAGCAAAGAACAGCGATTTTGTTGTAATTTAAAAATATTGTTCGTTGGTACTTAACATTTTTAAAGTGTACTAATATAATATAATTATATTTTATACACACAATGAGATTTAAAAAAAACTGAATTCAACCTACTGTTTTAGTGTTTTACTAATGGTAAGATAAGCTACTTGAATAGAAAAAATACAATAACACATAGTAGAGTTCAGACTGTCTTCTTTCAAAATCAATTTTTGAGCACAATGTTTAATATGATACGTTGAATTCAAATTTAGCATATCCAATATAAGCAATTTGTACAACAAATAAATATGTAGAGCGCTTGCCCAATTTTTTTTCTGTTGACACCACATGAAACAAACTATATTATAAAATCAAATATCAATTGTGTAATATAAAAAAACTAAAATGTTCCGAAAATGATTACGTAACAACTTAATGTAAAACTATAAAAGTTTTTAAGAAGTCAGCACACTATCTGTTTTCTCGCTCCGACTCTCGCGCAACAAAGCAAATTTACGTTTAACAAAAACAAAAATATTTTTTAATTTTTAAGAAGCCATGATCGAGTAAATTTTTACAATTTAAAAATGCTTATAAATTGTATAAAAACTAAAATATCGTAAAAATCGAACGTAGGGACAGGATACACAGGTAATGTCCAGATGTTCTTGACTTAAATTATGATAATAGATGAATTCACTCTATTAAAAGTAATAACATAAATTTGCTATGTTGTGTGTGGTACAATTATTCAAAGAGATAAAAAACAAATATCGCTGACTTCCTCTTAAATAAGTTTTATCAATATCTACCAATGAAAGTCCCCGTGACTAACAGCGGTGATCAGTGTGAGGATGCACTTTTTAACAGTTATACACAAATACACAATTATGGATAATAGAGGCGTTTTCATTTGGGTCACATTTCTAAAATCACATATTGTTTGAGCAAATTTATACATGGTTATTATTTAACTTATTAACATTCCCATTTTAGACTTAGCATTCTCAGTTAACTTTAACTAATAATTAGTTTGAATGAAAATATTTTTTGAACTCAATTCATATAAGTTTTGATATTAAGTCAATAATTTAAAATATATCAGACAATTGAAATATCATATAAAAAATTCAAACAAAGATAATGTTCTAAGCTCTAGTTTTGATATTATTAGATAATTACTTAATTCACTCACATATTTAAGCTAACAATACAAAATTGGCTCTGCTGAACTCAAATTTGCTGGGTTATGCAAGTTCAGAGGTCAAAGCAAGAAACCAAATAGAGAGCTAACAGTCTAACAACACCTTAAACACAAATTATAGATACTTTATTCTGGTAGGTAAATTTTTGGTAATTCACCCAAATTAAATACATTACATGAGAAGACAATGTCTAATTCAGTGTGAGAACCGAAGGCTGAGTGTCATTTTTTTAATTTCCAACATAAGTTCAAGCATAAGTTGAAATTTCCATATCATTGAAATCCTCTAGGGGGAAGTCCAAACTGATGATGCATCATACTTTTAAAAATATCTTCTTTAACAAATAATATTGAATATAAGCAAAATTAGAGTTTCGATATAACTGCTTGGTTATACTAAATATGATACCATAAATTCATATAATTTACACATTTTAGGAAAGAACAAAATTCAATATTTTCAGAAAAATGAAATGAAATTTACACACACGGTTGTTAATACAATAATATTGTTTATTGTCTAAATAAACTTGTTCTATTTTTTAAACTAAAAATATGATTTAATATTCATCAATTTTTATTTTAAAAATGTTATATACAATATAATAAAATAATATTACTGATTACAATTTGCAGGTCTATAAAAACCAAATAATATAAAACCTGAAATAGAAATTCTGATAAAAATGTATATTCTAATGTGTATAAAAATTGGATAACTATTATTTTTTTAAGGTTATAAAAAGTACATTAGGTGTTTACTATTAAACAAATTAATATACTACTAAGATTGTTAACGTGTTTGAATTTTTTCCAATTTTAAACAATGCCAATAGTATCATAACAATAATGGAATCTAAACTAATATAATTCGAATATTTAAAAATATTTTAATTGTTTGAAAAAAAAAACATAAAATAATATAATTAACGATTAGAAAATATTAAACGTACATAGAATTATAAGTATAATTTGTATTTAAATAATGAAGAGATAAGAGCCCCAAAATGAGAAGCAAGTAAAAGAATTTTAATTTAACTTAAATTAAAAAACCTGTACTGCAAAATAATAATAATAAAATAAAATATGGAAAGGGGGACAACACTTATAAAATCTAAAAGTGGACTTAAATTTTGATACTCAAGCTGATGCATTACAACAGAACTGTTTAATTTGGAATGCAGCCGAATCATTAGTGTTTGCTGTAGTTGCATCTATCCTGATTGGCTTCATACACACTTTGTCAATTTCGTCCCCATCCATACTATCCATTTGACGGGCTGATACTTTGCGATGAATTTCTATATGACAAATTAAGTTTAAAATTGAATCCATTTGCTATTATATTATTATTAATATTAATATTATTATTATTATTATTTACATTTAATAAGTCATAATAAGACAGATTAAAATAAAACATTCATATTTTCATCAGGAACCTGTAAAACAAACCTGATTTATGATGATTGGCAGCATTGTTTCCTGACGTTGTCAGAGTTGACTGTAGGTTTGACATCAATTGGCTCAATATTTGTAGGCCGTATCGTATCACCTTCAGGTGGGTCTCTCATTTGCTTTTGAGACACGATGTTATAGATTTCTGAACAATGGTGAAAAACCCGAACAAAAAAAAAAAACAAAAACAAAACTACTCAGTATCAAAATAATACAATACTTAACTAAAACATCATACGGAAGCAATTTAATTATAATTATAATCCAATTTTAAAGTTTGGGAGGTAAAATGTATTTGAAATGAAAACAGAATATGAAGTTAAATATGATATTATAGTAAACTTGAAAATCATATATTAAAAATAATATGACGCATTTAAATATGACTCAAACAAATTTTTAATGTACCTATCCTAATTAAAAAATAAACTGTAACAAAAACTAGTAGGCACCTACTATATAAAAGAAATATTTATATATTTAATGAAAATAACCATAAAATTCAATTGTGTAAAAATTGTAACTAACTTTTATTTTGAAGAATTTATATAGTTTATTATTAACAATAATGTAGGTCTTGAAAAACATTCCATAAAAATGATTTAAATTTAATATGTACCAAATAATATTTAAAAGAGAAATATCCAAACGTATAGAATTTCAAAATATTATTTATTTTTATCAGTCATAACTTACTTTTTCGGTTTAATAATAGACCTTTTTATCGAGAAAAATATAGTAACAGTAACTTAAAAGTTAGTTAAAAAAATAATGCTGTTATAGAATTCACAATATTTTTAATTTAACATTTCATCTCAAAGATAAAGTAAACAAATTTGTTATTATTTTTATCTGTTAAATACAAGCCTCACACAACCGCAGATAAATAATTTTAGCATTATTCTATAAATACTAATATTCCAATTTCATATCAATACATAAAACATTAATTTCTTATTAAATTCCAAAAAGATGTGCAAAAAAATACATGCAAATATAATAGTAGCTGAAGCTTTGAATGACTTATATATAATACACAAACATGTTCAGTGAGACCCATTATCTTCTTGAGGAAGAAATAATAATAAATAAATAAAATATACCTACTAATAAACAATGTCAAATATTTTTACAAATGAGATTTTGAGTTTTTTACTTATAATAATTAATATTATTATTTGTATTGATTTAACAATGTGTTTTTTATTTTAGTGTTTATATTGCTGAGAATTGTTTTTTGTATTCAATGATGTATAGTTGAAATACAACCTCACACATCCATTACAGCGACCCACCCGACACAAGTCTGTAGAATAGTGTACAATAGAGCGGTACCCACTTGCCCACCTTTTTTAAAATTAAAATTAACTTGTACAAAAAAATAACAATTAATAACAATTTTGTTAATTTTGTTTTTTTAATTAATCTATAATTATAAACATATAAACCACATGTTTTTTTTTATTAATAAACTATGAATCATGTGACATATGACAAATTAAAAACGGTATATGACATTAATGATATTTTTATTAAATATTGAAAGGTTTTATTTTTAAGCCAAAAATCCATCAACGAGAAAATTATCTTAAATGAGCAAGTTAAAAGTATAAATAAATAAATATTATAGAACCAAAACCAAACAGAACCATTGGAATAAATGATAAAAAAGTTCAAATATTAAGATAATAGTTAAATAGGACACTTTTTTTGTTTATACGACAGACAGCTAAAAATTATATCATAATACTTTCAACTATTTATACAGAAATGTCAAGTATATCATTTTAAAGATACCTTTATAACTTTCTAACCAATTTATAAACGTGCAAAAGAAAGAATAATATAAATTTTTATTTTTTGAGTTGGTTCAGTATCATTTTATTTATTTAAAACACATTACATACTTAATTTATTCATCATGCAATGCTTTTAGTTAATTTTCTATATTTGAACAAATTTGTTTATCAGTATAGCTATTATAGTTGCACAACTAAAACCAAATTATGTATAGCAGACATGCATTAATTACATAATATTAGGCATTTTGATAGACAAAATGTCAGTGACAATGACCAAATACATAAGCTTGGTTGAGATAAGCAATAAACATTCATTATAAAAAAATCTGTTTCAAGCTACACTACAAATTTGATAGGATTTTTTTTAAATAAAAGATAATCAGTTTTAAACTATAGAGAACAAAATGTATTAAAATACGATACTCATCTAAACGTCTTATTGTGTTAAATATAAATATTAAATAAAAAATGATGCATACCTGTTAATATGTTTTCAAAAGCAGTTTCAACATTGGTCGAATCAAGAGCAGAAGTTTCTATAAATGACAAGTTATTGGCCTCAGCAAATGCTGTAGCTTCATCTGCTGGCACAGCTCTTAGGTGACGCAAATCTGACTTATTACCCACTAACATAATGACTATGTTTTGATCGGCGTGATCACGAAGTTCACTCAACCATCGTTCCACATTTTGATAAGTTAGCTGTTTTGCAATATCATAAACCAACAGTGCACCTACTGCTCCTCGATAATAACTAAAGATCGACAAAACTAATGAATTTAATACACTATTTAAGTATAAAATATAGAAAAATGGATATTTACGCTGATGTGATAGCTCTGTATCGTTCTTGTCCCGCAGTGTCCCAAATTTGGGCTTTGATTATTTTCTTATTTACCTGTGAATAAAACATATTTAAAAAAAAATATTTTTATAGCTGAATCTATAAAGGTTTCTGAATAAGGAAAAATTAGTGCATTTTTTTTGGCACATGTCCGGGAGGCATATTAGCATTCTGGGGTCGGTCTCGGCACCTATAAACTAATTGACGCTTTTAATTGGTTCATTTAAATTTCAGCGCGAATTTCTTTCGCGTTTATCAATAATAATATCAATGATAATAATATTTTAACAAATAAGAAACCGTTGGAATGGTAGGGTACTTGTAAATTGTACAGTTTATACTTAAAAAAGTAGTGGTGGTAAAAATAAAAATGCATTGGGCCTCACCCACAAAAAACGTTCTGCACGCCACTGTGTTATATTATAACTTGTAAGGTTGTTGGACATAACATTTTGGTGTAATAGAAACCTAGTTGAACTACCTATATTAAAATAGATATTGTATTAATAATGTTTAAACTTTTGGAATACGAAAAAAATTCATTCCGCTGTAATTTGTTCTCTGAACAAGATATAACTAAATGGATTATTGAACATAGTTCTACCACAAACACAAATTGGTGTATAAATACTAAGTCTTCTAATAATGACAGTTCCAGATATGTTTGTAGGTGAGTTATGCTTTTGACTATTTATACAAAGCTTGATCAGGTTATACACAATTAGCGACTGAGTATCTACTTTTACAGTTAACATACTTACAACATAAATAATCAGTTTTATTTTTTTAATTTAATTTTGTTTCTGTTTAAAACATCACAGCAATTTAAAAGCTTTTTGTATAATAATTATTGACTATACCTAGTAATGCAACTCAAAAGTATTAACAAATTTCATCCATTGTATTTTCTAAAAAATCATTAACGTTTATAATGTGATAGGTATTGTTTTGATGTTTGTCGTTTGTGGCAATAATTATTGTGTCAATTATAGATTTACTTAGTTCTTGAAACATTGTAAGTAGTTATTACTCAGTTTGTGTTGTATATAATATGTACATATTTTTGTTATAATTGCTATTAAAACATAAAATAACATTTACAATTTGTAAATACTTTAATTTTAGAAAAGTTTATATGTGTCATCATAGTGGTTTTAATAAAGTAAATAGTAAAAGCAACAAGAGAGGTAAGTCAAAAAATACAGAATGTCAAGCTCGAATTGATGTAAAAATTAAACTAACAACAAAAGATACATGCAAAAAAGACAAATATATAAAAGTAAGTGAATGGTATAACAAACCTAACCTATGTGCTTACATCATGATTTTATTAACTATAATTTATGTATATTTTCATATACTTATGCTCTGACGACTGACACTGACAAAAAATTAAACAATTTACCAACATAAATGTAATATTTATTGTTACATTGTTACATAAAATTACTTTAAAAAAAAACCTATATATTTATTAGAAATCTCAATACTTTAATTATTATATAAATTTAGGATGGCTTTCCTGCAATAATAATTTTTATCAATGAACATAATTATACAATTTCTACTGCTGAGGCACTTTCATTCTTAAAAGCTAACAATGAAGTAAGGTTACAATTTGAAAAATACTTCAATGATGGTTTAGGTAAGAATTAGACATTAGTTACTACTTATTACTTATTAGTAAAACCCCAACAACAATATATTTATTTTAAAATTCAATCATATTTTAAATAACTTTAGCACATCATTCTGTTAAAAATAAAATAATTAGAATTTAATTGATTACCTGCATTTATGGTTTATTTAATAAAAATAATACTAAGTGTTTGATACTATAATTATGCTTATATAATTTCAAACCNAGACCGACCCCAGAATGCTTATATGCGTCCGGGAGTAGGCCCAAAGCCCTAGTTCAGACTCCTATTTGGCAGAATTTTTAGTTGGGCACTTGTAGGTTTCTGCCATGAGGGATGGCAGACTCACTATCTAGACAGTTACCTGCCCAGGGAGCGATGCTGTCAGTGCCCAGGATTTGAACCGGTGACAGTGTGTGTTAGGACAGACCTCTTAAGGTCCCCACACACTGTAGCGGTAGCGGTAAAAATCTTTTGTTTTGGCGGTGCCGCCGCAGTGGCAGTAAATTGTGTCCGGACTCATTTTACCGCCACCGCTACCTCTGCAGTGTGTGGGGACCTTTAGTCCACTCAGCCCCACAATTAATTAAGAAATATTATTAAATGGCTATTTATAAAAAATATATTTAGTGTTAATACAAAAGGTAACAAAATAAATATAAAAAACGATATAACTATTTCAAAATACTACTTAAAATTAAAAAAAGTAAAAATAATGCTAACTGATAATTTATTATTTAAAAATTAAAATTCTAGAATTAGCTAATTAGGTAGTTAACAGCAAAGGAGGTTTAAGCATATAATTTCCACGTAATGCAAGGTCAATATACTAAGGATTTATTGAGATTTTGGTAACCACAATACATAATTACTAACTTTAATTTTCAATTCAGTAATCAATGATAGGCAGTTGTGGTAATAATTTCATATACATACATTTTACATAAATTATATTTAATAAACAGTATAAAAAAATACCTTAATGCTCCTTGTTGCAAATTCCACCCCAATAGTAGACTTTGATTCTAGATTAAATTCATTGCGAGTAAATCTAGCTAACAAGTTGCTCTTGCCAACACCAGAATCTCCAATAAGAACAACTATAATATAAAAAGAAACAATGTAAGTATTTTATGTATCAATAAGATAATTTAGTAAACTCAGTAAAATAATAGATTCCAACAATAAAATAATTAACTCTGGGGAACTCAAAGGAACAATTGATTTTGCAAGTTAGGCAGTAAGCAGCCTTAATTTAAGGTTAAATAACCCATATTATATTGAAATTTTACACATCCCTAATGTATTTTTTGAAATGTCTTATTAGTTTTTAATAAGACACAGCATTAAAACAGTGAAGAAATAAAAAATAAATGTTCAAGGCTTTAAAGCAGATACTCGGTATTTTTAAGTAATATGCTTTAATCAAAAACAATTTTAAGCGATTTAAACTGATTTTTCATTATTTCAAACATTATGATAAAAAACACCACTTTGTACTTTAATATTGTTTCATATCATAATAGTTATATCATATTTATCTTGAGAGATTATAAATAATACAATTCAGAAATAAACCATATGACACAAGCAGTGATAATTTTAATTCCATAATTATATGCAAAAATTATACTATTAACAACAATTTAAAAATATTGATTAAAAACTGGTATAATCCAATGTTTTTTCTCATTATCAATGTGCGACTGCTAGGATAAACTCATACAATACGTTTTAAATTAAATTTAACTAGGTAACACATACCACAATCCCACTTTTGTCAAAATTGAATAAATATGTCTATGAACAATCTCTAAAGCCCTCAAATGAATAAGCAATTGGGTAAATAATAATATAATTTAAAACTATGTATTTTACCATACATTATTCAAAAATCATCAAAAGTTACAGTGACTTTAAATATTTAATTGATAAACAAAATAAAAATATTTTTATCAAATAATTAATATTTTCTAAGGCATAGTTTGGTCACTTGTAAGTTAAAAAAATATTTTGGAAACTTGCAGGTTTCTGACATGCCTGATTTTAGGTGAGGGTCGTCTCTTTCCCTAGACAATAACCAAGCTAGAGAACTAAATAGCTTATGGCCAAGTTTAAACAGTTAACAAAGTGCATTGGAACAATAGCCATAATATTCACTTGACTGTAACCAGATTATTAACTTATAAATATTAATACATTAAATGATAATAGAGGTATTACAGTAGTTTCAACATCATAATGTATACCATTAATTTTATAATAAACAAACATACCAAAGATATAATTAATAAAACTAGAATATAGTCAATTTCATTTCATCTTTTTATAGAACTTTAATGTTTTATAAACTGTGATTTCAAATTATATAAATATATAATGTTGTCAGAACACATTTAATATGCCTTACATCTATATCATTAACTAAAAAAAACTCAGCATCAGTAACTCTCTAGATACCTACTTTACATTAGTCATAATTTTTATGATGAAATTTAATTTCAATTTTATATCAAATAAATAATTAGGTATACTAGGTATAGGCTAGTTTCAAAGGTGTTATAATTTTTTGATCATATAACTAACATGTATACTTAAACATTTAATAATATAAAGATAAATATATAAAGATATATATATATATGTATATATATAAATTCATCACAATTTAAATAATATAAATAAATTGGTTCAACAAGCATTCAATGTGTTTATTAAAGCCAATAAACCAGAGTATATTAAAAGGTCAAACAATGCAACTAGCTAGGTCCATTATGAATTCTGTGTCATTGAATATTAATTTAAGATTAAATCTGTACCAAGTATTTGCCAAAAAATACTAATTATTCAAATAAGTGTAGATAGTAGTCAATATTTTAACCAAATAATTAATTTGATTTACTGTCAAAATATAAAAATGAACAGAAATAAAATTATAATTAAAATACAATCTTCATTTTGAATGGTATTTTGATTTAAATAGAAATAATAATTAGTATACAAATAGTTATTTCAATAATTTTGTAATTATAGTATGTATAATTTTACATTTATGGAATTTTTTTTGATTAAATGATTTAATACTATAACTCCCGACAAGTAACATTATAGCCTATAGGTGCCCAAAATACATAAAACTAGACTTTGGAATTTTATAAGTAGATAATCTACCATGTAATCATAAGTATTAAGTATAGCAGGTGATCTACCATTTAATTATAAATGTAATTGGTGATATTTTAAGAATAATTACACATTTATTTTTAGTAGTGATTTAGTTAACAAAGTTTGCTTTTTCTTTTATACTGTAAGTTTACTTTTTATGTTATTTGTTTATGAGATATACCCGTAATTTAGGTAGGATGTCGATAATTCTTTAGTTGATTATGATCATATAGGTCAGTGGTGCTTAACCGGTGTTCCGAGGACTTTGTATTAGTTTTCATCCAAAAAAATGTTTAGGTTCATTGTCTTAATATTTTGACTTTTATGGACTTCCAACACACAAGAGTATAAGACGTGTATAACAATATACTGTATAGTGAATCATTTTAGGTCAATACATTTAAAAATTAAAAAATGTATATACTACTATATTATTTTACGACTGTGTTCCGTGAAAACCTTATAAAATGTAAGCTATTCCGTCATTCCAAAAAGGTTGAGAACCACTGATATGGGTAAACGAAAATTAAATAATATCTAATGATATAATGTTTAATATAGTTACATTGGTCAATCATATTTTTTAACAATTTTTTATTTATTTTTGTTATAATTTTCAAGTCTTTAATTATCAATCCACTATTCAAAAATAAATGGCAAAAATAAAACATCGATACATTGTCTAATACCTGTTTAAATTTTGTGGTAGATCACTATCCCATAGTAGATAACATGCTACACCTATGTTCTAGATAGACATCTTTGATTAATTATATGAGTTAATTGAACAATTATGTAGGTATAATGCTAAAATAACCATAGGATGGTAGTTTACATGGAGTTATGAAGATAATTATGATTACAACTGACAAGACTTACCTACCAATCTATACTATCTATTTTATAATATTGTACTACATCAAAAATAATTTGATAAATGATTTTTAGTTTATGTTTTGGATTAATCAAAGTTACAATAGCAAGCCTATAAATTGATTACATTTTTAACTACTAATAACATAATTATGATTATCTATGTCACTTATCATAATTTCATAAACCTCACAAAACTGTAAGTTACGACGTAAACCCATATAAGTAATTAAATACTGATATAATATGTGTACCTACATTTAACACATTAAAAAAATTACGTTGTAATTAAATTAGACTAACTACAGAGATCCTATAAATTAAGCTAATGGTAAATTAAATGGATTTAAGAAATCTAATACACAATATTCTCCAAATATCTATTGATTTGAGAACACCTACGGTCTACCTCTAGTACCTAAATAAAAATGACAATGGTGGACTTTAAAAATAGTGTTTGAAACAATTTAACAAAATTATATGAAAATATGATGAAGAAATATGATACAAATATATTTCTACAAATCCCCTACAAAAACATTACCTTTAAATAAATAATCGTATTCTTCGTCACCAGTGCCCATTTTTGCTATCACTAATAGAATTAAAGTTAAAACAGAGAAGTTAGTCCGGAAAACAAAAGATCACGATAACGTACTTATATAATCCAAATGCGTAAATGTTAAAAAAATGAATTAATAAAAATACATTTCAACTTGTCATCGATGACGATGTTTGATAGGGCATCGTTTTAAACGAGTTAAGGAAAAAATTAAATTAACGAATAGAATAAAAAAATTTAAAAACGCAAAATAAAAAAACTCTTGATTATTTTAGTGAGGTTGCATCGAATTTTTCCCGTGACAATTCACGAAATAAGTCACGACTATTGGATGATTGGCCAATCAGCATTAAACAGTGTGCCAGAAAGTGATAATTCAAAATGTCTTTCTTAATCAGATACGCCCAACATTGTGCCGCCAAATGTTTAAAATAAAATCTTTTACGTTTTACAATAGACAATAGGCAATAAATACCATATAATATAATAACACGATACAATTAATTTAAAACAGTTTATGTTCTGAGGGTTTAATCATAATAATAAAACCTAACCCTGATATTACATGAAAAGTAACCCATGCGTTGCACCTAAAATTGTGCAAAATTGTATCTAGATAATTATTCAAACGATTTCTTTGCAATAATTTGAATAACAAATTAGTATTAATATAAATTGTAACTAAATGATTTACCTGATGAAATTAATTAATAATTATCTTGTAGCAGGTACCATTTGTACCAATATCGGCAAAATATTCGCAAAATATACAGGTTAAATATATAGTTTGAAATATTGTTATACCTACATATGTTACGGGTAATGTTAACATTTGGATAAAATCGACATTAGCCATCCGTTTTGGCTAATGAGTAGTTTTTCGTTTATAAACATGAAATATCAACATTATCCGGATAATGTTAACTTTGACCAGTCAATATTGGATAATGCTATATATTAGTTTTATATTAAATAGAGTTATTAAAATTTTATACAAAAATAAAGCGTTGGACTGCCAGAGTATAATATCTTAATTAACCTATAACCGAGTATGAAATTTAGGTATATCCATAAGTTTCTCCCAGCCAACATTGAAAACAGTGTGAGAGTCTACCGGATGTCGACAAAGGACGAACAGACCTAAGAAATATTATATTTGCAGTTGTGTCTAATGAGGATGGGCAATATTATTAACTTGGCAATAAATATGGTACTCAGCCTCAGTTATACACCAGAAATCAGTTTGGTGTTTGTCCTTAAGGACCAATTGGTTTTTAATACTGCTTGGTGAGGTGGTACATATGCAGAAAAATCATTGAGTGGAATTGCGAGTCAAATGTCAGACGATGGTGGTCAAGGATACAAAAGGTATTCATGTAAGGGGAAATGTAACACCAATCGATGTAAATGTAAAGCATCTAGCATTTTGTGCAATTCAAAATGTCATATAGAAGCACACCATCTTATAATAAAGGATAGCCCATTAAGTGGCATTAACACCTTAATTCTTAACTTGAAATAATATTTCAAGAAATAATTTAAAATATAAAATAATGTTAACCTTGTATTAGTGCTTTAACTTTTAAGTAAGTTAGGTTATTAAAAATTAAAAATAATCTCATATTAATCATTTTTGCATTTTATGGTAATTATACTAATTGTGTCTTAAATATATTGAATATTGTTAATAATTTTAAATGATTTTATACATTTTTATGGCTCTTAAGGCATTATCCAAAAGGTTTTGGATGATATCATATTATTCGATTAATGTTGACATTAACCAACATTTAATAATGACCATGGCGGGTACTACTAATAGTTGGCTAATGTTGTATTATCCGGCTAGTGTTGACTTTATCCAAATGTGAACATTACCTAGGTACATATATTATATTATAAACCAAAACTTTTTTTTAAATAGCTATATTATTTTTTGACGATATTTAATTAAACTGGTAAATCTTAATATTAGATAAATATTTTAACTACTTTAACCCGCATATTGTATACCTATATTGTATATATCGAAATTTTTTTAATTAAGATAATTCACTAGATAGTTAATACTTACTTAAACTGAGAACCATTATAATATATGATGTATTTGGTGGTAATAAGTACCTATAATTAGTAATTACAATGATATATATTTATATATATATATTTTTATATTTTTTATTTTACATTTATTTAATTTAAATATTGTAACATACTATATCGGACTTCATTACCTCGAACTTTTTTTCCTAGGACTTTTTACTCCGGACTTTTTTACGTCGATTCGTTACATTCTTCCCCAGGCCCCAATATATGTATAACCACTTAAAAATGGAAGAACCATGCTACAGAAAAAGATGGACAAGTGAGTGCCTCAATGTATGTGCAGTAGTTGTCGAGTATATCATTGTAATGGATATGTAATATGTTATATATATATTGAATTCAATGATAAATCATTGTATACAAAAAACGATTCTGAGCGGAGACTATATGTCATCCTAGTATACATGGATAAATAATCAAATTCAATACCTAATTAAAAATCGCTGAATATCAAATATCGTAAACATTTTAAATTCAAACGCTCATAAAAAATTAGATGGATAATAAATGGAAAATGCTAATATACCTTAATATTTTTGTGAAAATGTCAAGTGTCAACAATATAGTTAATATAGTAGATATTAAATAAAAACCGAAATAATAATTAGCTACATTTTTTAAATGAATATTAATTATACATATGAAATACTTACCTAGTAATACCTATAATATTATATTACAATATAATTATAAATTAAAATAAGTAATATTATATATTTTGTATTTTCAGATTTGTTGTCCAATAATAAAAATATAAATACCGAATTTTTGTCCAACTTTTTTCAAAATAGACTTTTTGACTGATAACTGCTTTTGAGATAGGTATACCAAAAGAAATAAAATATTCATTCGTTTTTTTTTTCCCGACCCTTTCAGAAAAAATAAGAATTTTAAAAGGTTTATTAATATTTTAAACAAACAATTGAATAATTTATTTTGGAGGGACTATAACAAATTAAGTTTGGAGGGGTTAGCCCCTCAGCTACCCTCCCTAGTTGCGCTTACGGGCTTATGCATTAAAATCATATAATTCATAAATTTTTATACATTTAGTTATACTTTAATATACAAGAACAAATTATGGAAAACTATATAATTTTAATTTTATTATGATTGCGCCCGTCCTACAACCACTAATTTTAAATACTAGTATTTATAATCAATGCTACAACATTCCTATAAATCACGAACTAAGAAATATATAATAAGTTCGTGCTATAAATTAATTGTAATATTCAATAATTAGGATTGGAATGATCAGTATAATAATATTTATATTTGTTACAAGATAGCGCTATCGTAGTTATGATTCATTCAGTCAGGGCGTGCCATCATTGCCGATCCACCCAAACCATGTTGGTTGTTACTTGTTACCATCAAAACGGAATTCCTTAATCAAAAAGTAAACTACAAACTACAAAGTACAAAACAAGCGCTTCACCATTCAGGCACTCAACACTGTGAATCATGCAAGTTCGTGATTGAGTGTTTGAACTTTAATTGTTCGAATTATTCCGTCCATTTAGTGCCTAGTTTTTATTCATAAATTTTTCGTATTTTTGTCTACCAAACGTGTTTAAAATATGTGTATTAGATTATATTCGTGATTTTTTACCACTTTGTGCAAAATGAGTGAGGTTTTACATTTTATTTTAATAGCTATTGCTATTGGTTTATGTTCAAATGTCAAAACTGGTGAGTAATAAATATTTGTATTGTTTATAAACAAAACTTGTACTAGAATTTCATGTTTACTTTTGAATATCAGGGTAAGGTTAATTATTTCAAATATGTACATTTTCATTAGATCATTAATTTCTGATCAATATTCAAAATTAATGTAGGTATCTATTCTGGGATGTACTATATAATCAATTGCTTAATTAACTTGAATTTGTTTAGATTCCGATTGTGGTGAACCATTATTAGAAAAAGCAGCACTCCGAGCAACTTCTTCATTACCAGACAGAGGGCCAGAAAATGCTATACTTAATGGTAATTATAAATTTTTGTTTCTGTTATTTACGTATAGACATTCCTTTGTATTGTTTTTAATTAATTTGTCATTAACGTTGAAATTGTGTGTTCTAAATACCATTGTATTAATCATTATATTACCTATAGTTGCACTATAGTTTAAGTAAGACATTTCCAATTTATAACATTTTATTGAAATGTTTTATGTTTTGATATGACTAAAACAGAAAAAAATGTATTTTCTAATTAATGATAGACTAGATATATTAAATAGATATTGCAGAAATTATAAAAAAACCTACCTACTTTATTACTGTAAAAAAATTATGTTTATCTTGGATTTTTTTACATCATCGACTATCGGTAAGACGTTTTTTCTTTTGTTATGCAACATTGATATTGAAAATTGACTTATACCAAAATATTTATGTCAGTAGAAAAAGCACTAGTAGATTTTATTATTTGTTGATTTTGTGTTGTTGAGTCACTGAATTAACTTCTTTTTTTAGTAAATTATTATTATTAAAATATAATAAATAATAAGTATATATTGAGTTACATTAATGTTATTTAATTTTTTTAATTACTAGATACAAATTTAATATTTTATACATTATATTCAAAGAGATTTGTTTGTATAACGTTGATATTAACACAATTAATAAATTCCATATAGGTTGAAAAGTTATTTTATACAATTATTATTGGTAGATTATATTTTCTAAGCTGAACATTATATTAAATGTTTAATTAAGATTTATATAGTAGATTTTTAATCCTTATGGTTGGTAATAGCTCATAGAAAATTGAATGAAAAAGATTTATTAATTATACATTTGTAAGGTATAATGCCCAAAACCTTAGTAAGTTAGTAAACTATAAATAATACCTTAGTAAAGTAATTCGACTAAGAGTATCAGTCGTTGATCATTAGTGACTTATATGTCATTACCTATACCATATTCGATGTTCTAAGTGATATGCTCACAGTTTTACAATAAGTTGATTTCTTATACTAAAGAAGTTACATTACATACTTCTAGAAAATGGAAATTGATCAATTGTTTTTTAGAAAAATCTTTTCCAAACAAAAAATGTTTAAATGTAAACAAGCACCAGTAAGTTTTTAATATTTTAATAGGTTGTAAAATCTGTCTATATTGTCTTTATTTTGCAAACGTGCAATGTACCAAACTTGCAGTATCTATTATATGTTGTT